ATTAAAGAAGTTGCCTGAGAAGTTTAAATACCACGTTGATAAGGGCGAGATATTTTTTGCAATACACGTACTAGTATATGATTGTCAAACTGTTGAGGAATTCGAAGAAGGTTGGAGAGCGTTGTGGACAGATATTCCTCGCATGATAATGAGTAGTTGTCGGGATTGTATGCCAACAGATGTCGTTGGGTGCCGTGTTTTTTAAAAAGCAGCTTCTGGGCAAGAATGTCTACTACTCAGCAAAATGAGAGTATGAATATGTTCTTCGATGGTTATGTGCACTCGAAGACGTCGTTGAAACAATTTGTTGTTTGTTGAACAATACGAGAGAGCACTAAGGAATAAGGTAGAGAAGGAGTTTCCAGCAGATTTTAAATCATACTCACAAATGGTTCCATCCACAACGAAGTACAAGTTGGAGAAGTAGTTTCAAAGAGTTTATACCCCTTGGAAACAGCATCTAGTAGAGCTAAGGTATTACGGGATACATATCGTGTAATGTTTTTTTTTTAAATTACGATGCGGTTGACCAGTAATTATCCGTTGATTATGCAGTCACATCCGACTTTGAGTACACGAAGGGGACGGAAGACATGCCCAAGTAAACTAGGAGGTGTTTCGCCAATCATACATGCTACTGATCAAGGTATGTGTTAATCATTGTAAAAATCTCGTTTAAGTCGTACTATAGTTTGAGTAATACTCTTATTATTTCCCAGTAGGTAACGTAATGCCTTACTATTATCATGTTGTACCTCACCAAGGTGACGTGGGAGGTGTTGTGCCGATCGTACATGCACATGATGCATGTATGCGTTAATCATTGTTGGTATCTAGTTGAAGTCATGCTCTAGTTTCCTCAATACTCATCTTATTTTCCAGAGGGGAATGCATTGCCTTACTTTTATCCAGTTGTACCTCACCAAGGTGGTGTAGAAGATGTTGTGCCGATCATACATGCACATGATCAAGGTATGCGTTAATCATTTTAGAATTTCTTTGAAGTCGTACTGTAGTTTCTTTAACACTCTTATTATCACTACTGTATGAAACGTAATGCCGTATTATCATCCACCTATACCTCATGAAAGTGGCACAAACATGTGATGAAGCATCATGTGGAACAATGGAAGCAGCGTCATCACTTAGGATATGGAAGCATGTAGTTCATTATTTAATTTCTGTTGTCTAATTCTTGTTTAACAATTGAAGCATGTAGTTCATTTACGCTATGGTTGTATTTGCTGAAACAAATTCAATTATACAGTTGATGTTATTAGATAAGTTTGATTTGTGTTTCATGGGTTTTTATACTTCTACTTAGTGTTTCGTTTCAATGGAAATTGATTGAGCGACTAAACTATTCAGTTATTAGCAGCTAACATTAAATGGCAGGTTCATAAGTACTTGTTAAGTTAATTTCTTAATGTCCAACATGCTTTACATCATGTCTTAGTTACCATTCTTAAGTCCAGCATTCTTTATTGAACTCGGATGAAGGAGCACCAAAACAGTCACCCAGTTAACCAATGTGTACACAGCTAATTTGAGAATTCTGCATTGACATCACTCAGATAGTTGTGAAAATACATTACAGACATCCTCAGCCTACACTAAATTCTCCTACATTACAATCAGCCAATTACAGTCACCCACTTACTCATTCTCCATACCAACATCCTCAGCATACGTTACATTCACCCAACTAACACCAACTGTAGATACCAGCAGAACAAGACTACATTAACAAAAAAAAAAACACATTCTACACATCACAAGTTGCAGGGCGTGAAACCGATGCCAACATGATAGACTAATCATGCCGGTCCCTTCTCTTTCTTAGCCACTTACACACTCTCGTTGGCCTTGCATATTGTCACCGTCATTGAATATCGATCAGTTTGTCTTCAGTTATGCGACATTAGTATGGAACTGGCGAGACAAGTGTTCATCTTCGTCAACCGCCGCATGATTATTTGAATTCACGGAACCGCTACTTGATCCCCCGCTTGGTTCCTCGCCACTTGATTCCCTATTTTCAACCCATTCCCAATATTACAGTTAGCACTGCAACAATTGAACAGTTTTTCCTTGTTCTTCGTATCCTTCTCGACCTCAAAGCACTTCACAAAGCCTACTTTACACCATGGGCAGTGCCGTTTTCTCATGCAATTCGCAAAGAAATGACTCTTTTGGCTACAACTAGTTCTTCCCTAGCATACTGCATACATAACAAGGACATATCCACATGAACCAACAACCACAATCAATTGTAAAACTACAATGATAGTCGCACAGATGCTCAAAACTTACAGTAATGTGGTATAAAAATAAAGCTATTCAGAGATTAAAATCCCAAAACTGATTTTCTCACGTCACTGTAAAAAAATCAAAATCTCAGTTCAAATAGATGTGTAAGCGTGCATCACTGTAGATTGTATATTTCCAAAATAGTAACATCTAGCAAAACCGAAAATACACTGTGCTTACATAAAGTTTGCTTCGATTCGAGATATTGTCGGAGGCGAAGGCCAGAATATAAAACGACAACTGCCCACTACGACTTGGGGGAAATTGGAAGTGAAGGTGACGTAGCGAAAGATTATAGGAAAGATGAAAAATCTCACGAAGATGAGATAAAACTCACGAAAATTCTTATT